GGTAGGAGTACATCTTTCAAATAATTAACATTTACGAACTGAATTGTACACTCCTACGATGTTAAATAAAAACTTAATTAAAGGTGATTACATAGTATGCCAAAAAGACTTAGGGTGGTGGGGAGGATGATGATGGTGGTTTGTGTCAGTGATGATAGAAAGGTGCTTTTGCTATCTCATTTTAAAATGAGACACAAAGAAAAATGCAATTCTTTAGTACAGTAGTTTTGATTTACCATATACAGTATAGGAATTTAGTTGCTGGATCAATGAATCAAGATCAGAAATTGTATGTATTTTGCTACATCAAATTTTCAATAGCATCTGATTATATTCCATATCAAATGATTATAATACATTCAACAAATGATCATAGTCAATACCTAGTGTAATAGTACAGATACTATTAGACTGAAATAAAATAATGTTACGTTGTTATTAGTATAATCAGGTCAGTTCTAGAATATGCTGTACCTGTTTGGGGTACTTGTCTTACTAAACAACAAAGTGACAAATTAGAATTAGTTCAACGTAGAGCTTTTAGAATTATTTTACCTAACTATAGCTATGAGGCTTCCTGTGTGAGCCTTCGGCTCCCTACTTTGATTAACGACAACTATTTCTGTGTAAAAATTTTTTTAACAAAATCAAATGTGCTAATCACAGATTAAACCACCTCTTGTCTATAGTACCTGACCACGGGTATAATTTAAGAAGAAATAATAATCTGTCTCTCCCCAAGGTTAGGACTGAGTGGTCCAAAAAATTTACTATGAATGCTGGGCTCTTTCTTGGATGGTAAACGATAAGATGCTCTTATGATAATGATTTGTATGGGAATTATCTCCGTCTCATATTTTTTTTTTTTATATAAATGATGTTAACAATTATTCAGGACACTGATAATGTTTATGATTGTTATATCCAATTATTATTATTGTGGTTTTATATCCTTGTTGGTTATTATGAATACTGTTGTTGTATTGATCACGTTATTGTCATTGCTATAATGATGAATGATATTTATAATGACAATTACTCTAGCTATATTGAAGATAGAAATAGTATTGGTGGCAATAATGATATTTTTATTGATGGAAATTGTAATAATGATTATGGTACTAATGTGGTTTATGATGACTATGAACACAATAACGATGATAACAATAGTAATAATGATAATAATAATAATAATAATAATAATAATAATAATAATAATAATAATATGCCCACTTTGAACTTATTTGTGCAATACTTTGCCTGCCGAGTAGTAGTTTGTTCCACGGTCTCCTCGCTTCTCTTTTTTATTGGTTGTTTTTTGTGTCCCAATAGCATTTCCTGGTTAATTTTGAAACTGTTACTGCCTTTTTTTTTTGTCTTCTTTTTTGTGTGTTTTTAATATTTAAATAGAGTATTTTAAAAAAATATAATGAAGTCAATGTTATTAATAATTAGAATATTTAATGATTTCAATGATAATTATTGTTGTGGATGATTTTTTTTGTGTTTCGACTTTTTAATAAAGTAATGATATCAATGAGGGAGCAGCTTAGCTCAGTCGGCTAATCTGGTGGTAGCCACTGTGTGTGCGCTGAACCGTGGAGATCTCTAGGTCCCCGGTTCAATTCCCATCGCTGCCTCTCCTTGTGTTTCAGCTAGAGGGCTGAAATACAAGTTACATAGCGCACCGTCTTTCGGATGAGATGTTTAAGCCGTTGGTCCCGTGTGCATTTATGGCCAATGTGCACGTTAAAGAACGCAGTACACTCTTCGGAAAAGAGTAGTGGATTGTCTCCCGGTGTACTGTCCAATCACCACCAGAAGGACCCCACTGGAAATAAGTCTTCTTCTAGACTTTCGTGGGCTATCCTTGGTGTTTACACCGAATAAATCAAATCCAATCCAATGTTTATAATAATTTGAATTTTTATATAATTGAATCCAATGTTAATAATAAGTAGAATTTTTATAGATGTTGATGATCATTTTTGTAACATATTTAATTATTGTAACAGAAAAAAGTGAATTTAATGTTAATAATTATAATTGTTATAATTTTAATAATTTTTAGTGTGACTTACTTTGGTGTGCCTGTCCCCGATGCTTTGTTTTTACTGGTTGTTTTAATCCCAATTGCTTTTGTGTCTTTTATTCCTTTTAATGTTCTTGTATCCGTTTGGTTGCCCTCCACTTTTCCCCATCATCCCTCATGTTTTTATTGTATTCGAGATTTTATTGTCTGTAGATTCTTTTTTAGTAATTTTTAGTGTTCAACTTCAATTTGTACTGTATTTGATCAAATTGCAATAAAGTATTATCGTATCATATCGTATTGTATCGTTATGCCATTGCTGAATTTGAATTCCTTACTATGTCCTCTCCAAGCTCTGCTTCCATTGGTCAAGGTCAAGAAAATTCCATCTGTTCCCTTATGGACTGGATTAGCCAGAAGATAATATGATTGGCCATCCACATCAAAGTTGCTGAGCACTTTCTCCTGTAACAAATTAAGCAATTTTTAAAAAATGTATTTAAAAGTGTGAAGAAATAACGACCTTTGTTTACATGTAATTCTGCTATGTTCAAACATGTATACCAATGCACCTACCTGTAATAATATATATTTGAAATATAAATCAACAAAACTTTTACCGGGTAGCTCAGACATGAAGAGACCCTCACTCAGGGGGTTACCCCACTGTACTGGTCCATTCGGCACCTGCTGTGGACAGATGAGAGTAGCTGATACAGGTTTAAAGCCCCATTCCCGGCAAAATTTCACTAAAAAAGAATTCTTTTAGAAAAAAATTTTTTTAACAGATTTGAAATAATTTCTATGAAAATTGAAATATTAATATATTTTACAAGTGTCAATACTAGCAACGGAAAATATCATGTCGGCCGTTTTTGTGTGATAACAACAGAACCTAAATCGAGGTAAGGCTAGGCCTAACCTAGCAGTGTTAGAGGGTAATGTTTCCGGCGCCTACTATATTTCTTCGCAGACCTATTGCAAAATCAAACATAAAAAATTCATCTGCATTAATTTTTTGTGCACGAACAAACAATTAAATTGCAGTCTTTTAGACTTTTTAGGAATGTCTAAATTCAGTTAAACTAGCAATTTTGTATTATTATATTTATAAATCTTTATAACATATATAAATATCAGATTTTCCTTAACAACTGAAATTTTGCCGGGAATGGGGCTTTAAAAGAGACCCTCACTGAGGGGGAGAATAACGGTTACTGTATACTGTACAAGCAAGTCCACACCCCGATTGCTTTGATAAAGACTCCGGTATAATAAAGTGCTATAAATAATATAGAAATCGAACTAGAACATTACATCTTGCACAATCTGCAAGAGTAGGCCTAGTAGTGTACGCACTAATTAACCTAGACTAGGCTAGGGCTAGGGAAGGGGCCTTGGGCGGCTAGAGCAGGCCAGTCACATACATGATACAGCACTTCGCCTAGCCAGGCCAAGATAGGGCCTAATCGGTCCTTAGGTTAGACTTGATTTAAGGTTATGCATAAACCCCGATTAAACCATCCCTGATCTAAATACAATATGCTATTACAGTGCTGTAAGTTGCTGGCAATAAATTTCTAGGCCCAGTCAAGGACCGAACCTACCACGTCCATGATGACCCGGCTGACCTCCGCCACAACCACCAACCACCAACCACCATTCGTTTGAAATAATAACATTAAGCAGCGCCCTCATTTATGAGAGGCAAGGAGAGAGAGAGAGAGCAGCAAGCAGCAGCCATGCGCCAGCGTATGCGCATGATGTACAGTACATCAATAATTGACGAGTAGCGGGTGTTATGAAATGTACTCCTTGATTTATTTTCCATAGTTTAACATTAAAATTGCATTTAAATGGAGATAAACTATTGTGTAGTAGGAGGTTGTTGTAATAAGCCTACCAAAAAGCAGACAGTCAATGATCTAAGTTTCTTTAGGTTTCCGAAAGAATCAAATCTTAGGCAGAAATGGATTCGATTTGTTCAGTTGACCAGGCCGAAATTCACAAGCCCAGGTAATGACAGAATTTGTGAAGAGCACTTTGATAAAGACTGCATCAATCAGACGTGGATAATGCATAAGCAGTTTGGGATGCATTATAGGGACAAACTCAAGAAAGATTCATTTCCCACAATCATTAAGCAGAAAAAGGTTACACGCACAAGGACTTATTCTGTTAAACGCCAGGAAAGACAAGTAAGTTTGTTCAGGGAACACCCTGGTTTGTTAAATTATGTCGTCTGATGATGAGATTGCAAACAAGGGTTTCTGGTAACCAACGATGAACATTTCCTGAGTGCTAATCTACAGTAACCTTACAACTGATCAATCAGAACAGGGCAACGAATGCACGTAATGCTGCTTTGCTGGACATGTCCTTTTCATAATGTTTGCGTAATGCACCGTGGCTGGCCATACAATAAGCAGCTTTGGATTTGGACGATGCAGCATTCTACGACGGGCAGTGGAGCGTGAAACCATACTGCGCAAGCGAATACATGGGGAAGTCATTCGTTGTGTGGATTTGACAATGGGCTTTAAGCGATTTGGCATTGTGTTGACTATGGCAACGTGAGTTTTATAAATACACGCTCTCTGGGGGCGCCTACTTGATCACGCGATACGAGGGAGCGCGTCGTCCTGTAAATCGAAACAGTTTTGATGTTGAGATGGGAAGTGCATCGTACGACGTTCATGGTTGACTGAATTCCCCGTCGCAGCTCCCCGCGTCACCCATTTCGAAAGCTCGCTAGTAGTGGTTTGGTACCGGATCCGTTGTCATTCGGATCTATTAACTTTTACGAATCACAAGGCCATGAGTAGATAGATTCATGAAAATTTGAAGATTTTTCAAAACTAAAATGGATATTATCATATGAAAGAGCTTAAAATTTGGAACAAAATGATGGGTCTCCCACTGTGATGTGGGATAAATAGAACAAAAGTTATTGCAGTTTATATATTTCATATTTCCGTCTTCTTGAGATGCATTTCCAGTAGTACAATTTTTTGTGACCTTGTATAATGTAATTTGTAAATAAGCAAGTGTTGACAATATAGTAATTCAAAACTTTTCCATGGATTTCGATGAAATTTTTAGTGAAGGTTGACACCAATAATCCAAGTATATGACACCCCTCCACATCACCTCGCATCAACTCATTACATAAAATGGCCGCCATATATACTTTAAAATCTACTTTATAGAAAAATGTAATTATATATTAGGGGTACAGTATTTACTGTAACTGTTATTGTGTTATACCTGTAGTATTTTATTAATTTTAAAATGGCTGCCACAATCAAAATGGCCGCCAAATTCAAAATGGCCACCAAACCCAAAATGGCCACCAAATTCAATATGACCATCATTTTTAATTAAAAAAAACAAAGAAATCCCACAATAGGTGTCTGTACAACATTTACAAATTTATTTTACAAGTTCCATTTAAATATATATATATACAGATATTTTTATGTTCAACCAAAAGTGCATGTACTGTATGTATCTAAATTTACAGTATTTACATTTTTAAAATTTAAATAAGAATATTTTACACTATGTAAATATAATGTAAAATAAGAATATTTTACATTATATTTACATAGTACACTACGTCATATTTACACTACACACTGCAGTACGATACGAATTCCAAAAGTGTAGACATGAGTAACCAGTGGTGGTGCTGGTGTGGGGGGGGGGGGAAGGGTTTGGAGGCAGGTTGAATTTAAAATCCCCATTGAACAGGAACCCGTTGTCCGATCAAATGTAGTCATTTGCCTCTCCAAATAATAATATTTCGTTTGCCATTGTCCCAAGTGCAAAGAGTACAGTAGTCCTACCATTTGAGCCATCTCTCCCTGTGAACCCAGGGATTTTTATTCCAGGAACCTGACCAAAGCTCTATTTGACCCCTTCTATGGAACCCTTGTTGCCAGACATGCCGGACCTCCTGTTGGCAAATTTTGGGAGCCACCGTTGAGTAGGCCTATAACAGGAGGGGTAGAAATAGTGTTGAATAATAGGAAAGGTCCATTACCACAGTTCAAGAGGCACAGCAATGTCTTCTTGACTCAAACCGGTAAGAAGACGCAAGAGGTCTTTATATTTCAGTGGGAAAACACCTGACACCTGGTGGATAAAAAAAATCCTGCCATTTCCAGGCCTTTTTTCAACAAATTTCTCAATTCCGCCCCAACACTGGTGATGCTCAGGTGGGTTTGGATGCTCAGGTGGGTTTGGATCCCCCACTGACACTCATCTGGTGCCACTACTGATAAATAACGCTCTCTGGACAGACCATGTGGAGGGTGTGGGTGATGTCAATTCAGACCAAACTCTTTCCTGTGGGCCTAAATCGAGCAATTTATCAGTCAAAAACTCAAAGGAAGCCATAAAATGTGTCTAAAGGCCTGGAAGTTAAATTTATACTTTTTTATAATATTTCTTACGATGTTAATACCATTTACACCAAATGTTGCTTGTCATCAAGTTCATGCAATAAAGAGTATTGTCTTGACCCCTAAAGTCAGCTGGCCATCATGGGTGTACAATAGGCAGTGGGGTGGGTGGGGGAAATTGGTCCTCTTAGTGGGTTAAAATACTAAAAATTCATTCGAATAGGAATTTAATTATGCATTCTTGGACTTAATTCCGTCTTCACATTTTTTGCACAACCCAAGCCCAAAACCAGCCCACCGACTATAGGTATCACCATGGTTTTTATACCACAGCAAAATATGGTGAAAGAAAAGTTTACAGTTTTCCATCTTGGAGGTATAAAATTAATGCTGTATAACATTAGTGTAAGTTTTGTGTGTGAATCTTGGCCATTTATTTATAGCCCTTTTAATATCAGCTTTCACAATATATTTCTTGCCAATTATAAAATACCCAAAGTGTTACTTTCACAATTTTGTGTTGGACACAAATTCAGATTTTATTTTCATCAATTTTTTATGCATTGAATTTAGTTGGTTGAAACTCTTTTGAAAGAAAGTGAAGCCACTCCGGAAGAGAAAGAAATTGAGGCTACTCAGGGAGGGAGCAAAAGTGCTATTTCATCAATTACAGAAGATGATGTATCATCTCATCTAGACTTGTGTCACCCAGACCAATCTCATCTAAACTTATCTTGTCCAACCTCAGTTGTCATGGACTATCAAACCAAAAACATGCAACAGATCAAATTGTAAGAACCATTTACTTTTAAAACATTTTGCTTTTGTATTGTCAGTATAGTTTTATTTATATTTGTACTACTGACCTACCAAGTCTTGCACATTCGGCGTGAGACTTGTCCATAAGGGTTCTGTCTCGCGCTCTCATGCTTAAGGACTAATATCTGAAGCATAAATTTATATATATATATATATATATATATTGACATATATATTGATATATATATATATACATATATACATACATACGTATATACAGTACATATATATTGTTATATATGTATATGTATATATATGTATGAAGCATAATATATAGTCCATGTGTGTTTTGTCAAAATAAAAACTCAAAAGTAAAGACAATAAGATTGACTTGGTAGACTTGAAACACTAAATTTATTATTCACATGAATACAGTAAGTTGGCTGTTACAGAAATCTCAACATAATATAACGAATGCATTGTTTGATTGGCATTTCCACTTCCCTATACTCTAAACTTACTGATAGCCACTCTTTCTTCAACTTTGACAGCTCCAATCCTCTACGCCTCAAATCATCTATTGCTTATAGCCAGTGCCAACGCATAAAAAGAATCTGTTCTGAGGCAGATTATTACACTCTTCATTCTAATAAACTTTTAGGTCACCTCTTCAATCATGGATACTCCCTCAACCTTGATAAATCTCAGATTTCTAGAGCGTCGCTCCGTTCCCGACAAGATCTTCTCTATCCTACCACCAAACCTGACACTGCCTGAAATAAGATCCCAACAAGAACTTTCTTTAGTCAGTCTAGCATAGTTTAGCACAGTAAAATATTCAGTTGTTGATTGGAGCCCAAATATCAGTTGGTAAGATTTCCTACTTGCTCTTTTATTGTTAGTATACAGTATTCAGGTATAATGTAAAGAATTTCTATAGCGCCTTTCCAAAAAAATGGTCAAAGCGCTTTAATAATAATCTTCCTACAAACAAGTGAGTTTTAAGAACTTTTTTAATTGTATAAAGTTTGATTCTCTATTCATTTGAAAGTCCATTCAAAAACTAGGCCCAAATTTTGAAAAAGCATTTTTGTCTTTAATACAAGACGGTTCTCTAACCTATGCAATCTCTTTCAGAGCCGCATTGTTAGCATTGTATAATACGTACAAGGTACCTCTGCGACTGAATTATTCTTAGTTATTTGTTTTTGTTTTTTTTTATTTTAATTTATTTCTTTCAAAAGTGTACTTTCTATCACATATTAATTGCACTGTCAAGTTAGGCCTAGGTCTCTAGTCTTATTATGTATGCTTCATTGTCATCCATTACACAGTACTTCAGTAGTGCCCCTCCCCCCCCCCAACAGTACAGACGTTTGCTGGGCAACAACGTGATTGAACCTTCCTTCGCAGGTGTTCATGTATTGGCATATTGTTAGCTAACCAGTTGTGTGTATTTCTTTGTGAAAATGAGTACGGCGGCGTACTCATTTTCACAAAGCATTCCCCTCTTGGAAAGAGGGAACTTCGAAATAATTGTCTCCATATCTTCGCTAATTAAATTAATCACCGTAATTTAGCTTATACTTATGAATTTAGCTAGCGCTTAAAATGTACAATAATAATTTCTCTACCCGACAAACTCCGAACTTTATTCATTTGGCCTACATAATAGTTTCATCTTGCTGTACTATATACTCCAACATCACTGACGCATGGTAACAACCAACTGATGCAGACCATTTCCGGTTTACATTACTCCATAACACAGCACCCCCTAGTTCCGTCACCTCTGGATCTATTTAAACTTATGGCTTATATTTGCCCAAAAGGGTAAATTTACCAAACTTTATCTTTCCTGGTTTTGTTAATGCATCTGCCACCATTTCAGAGGTTGATAGATATTTAATATTAATCACATCATTTAGATTTTCTCTAATAAAGTGATATCTTATGTCAATATGTTTGGTCTTCTGATGATGTACGGGGTTCTCTGCAAGGGCAATAGCTCCTTGATTATCCTCATAGAGGATGGTTGGCTGCATTTAAGCCTAAAGTTCATAGATAAGTCCGGAAGTAATTTTCTAAGGAATAGAACTTCTTGGGTTGCTGCTGCGAGCGCCATATGCTCGGCTTCACAAGAAGATAGTGCAACTGTTGTTTCTTTGTTTTTCATTATATATTGCTCCTCCTTGTTTATGCAGGGTAAAACGATATCCTGTTGTACTTCTCCTGTCGTCGGTTGAAGTCCCCCAATCGGCATCGCATAATCCTTGCAATTCTAATGCAGTTGTCTCTCTTTCGATAAATAAGTTGTTCATTTAAAGTTCCCTTCAAATAACGAAAGACACATTTTACGGCTGTCCAGTGCTGTTCCATTGGATTGGAAACATACTGAGATAACTTTGTAATTATCCAACTGAGATCAGGCCTTGTACATATATCAGGCTTCCAATGGCTGATCTATACGTGTATTCATCTACCGGTTGACTAAACTCACTATTGGTAAAGTTTAACTTCTCTTCGGCAGGATCTTCGATCTGTTGGTTGATTTTCTTCACTTCTCTTTATATGAGGTTGAGGTAGTGGGTCAGCTCTTGTCTCTTGTACTTCATCACATGATGGTGCATTGCACACAATAACTTCATCATCATCATCATCCCCTACTGTATCAGGAGCGGGGATGGCGTTACATGGTTCAACATTGTCATTGAATTTTACATTTCTCGAACAAGTGACCTTTTCTGTTACTAGATCATATATAAGATATGCCGGACTTGATCTGTCATATCCCACAAACACTCCATGCTTGGATCGATTATATCCAGCTTCTTCAAATCTTCTAGTTTAACAAAGCATTTTGTGCCAAAAATATGCATATTGCATAAGTTTGGTTTTCTGTTGGTGAAAAGTTTGTATGGGGTTTTCCTTGTTCTCTGCTGGTAACATCTGTTATGTATGTACTCAGCAGTCGATATTGCATAAATCCACAATGTTTTCTGTAATTTTGCATCAATTAGCATACAATGTGCCATGTCCCAAATTGTGCGCCAGTTACGCTCAGCAGTACCATTTTGCTGTGGTGTATAGGGTGCTGATTGTTCATGCCTTATTTTTCATGAGGAAATCCTGATAACTCCTAGACATAAATTCACCTCCTCCGTCACTTCGTATGGTTTTAACTACTCCAATTGGTGCAATATCTGCTAGAAATTTCTCAGTAGCTCTTTACGGATTGCCCTTTTCTTTCGTGAAATGGAGTCTCCCGAAAAATCGTCAACAAAACAAATAGCATAGTGAAACCCATCTTTCGCAATTGGGTCAATTAGCCCTGATAGGTCAGTATGTACCATCTGTAGGGGATATTTTGCGCGTTGGTCTGGTTGTTTACTTATTTGCGTTCGCGTTTGTTTGCCCTCTGGGCATGTGCTGCAGAACAACTTCTGTTTTGGGTCCTTACATTTTATTCCATTAGCAACAGTTTGTAAGCGTAAAATGTCACTGGTATTGCAGTGGCCTAATATCTTATGCCACTCCTCAATGGTCTTTGCCTTATACAATGTGTCTACATGTTCAATAGTTGGTAAAAAATATAATTTACCTTTCTTCTCTATTTTGAAAATAGTTTCATCAGCTATTACCATGTCTGCCGATCCCGGTCGAAAAGTTATAGTTGCTCCCTTTTCGGTAGCAGCCGCATGTACCAAGAAGATGTCATGTGGATATGATGGAACATAAAGAGCATCATTAAGGGTGACTTCCTTTACTTCACCCTCAGAATCTTTGTAGCATGAAACTTACATTCCCCAATTCCTTCTTTTTGGCTACATTGAATGATTTTGTTCCATCAGCCAGTTCAATACAATGATTATTAGTGTCAAAATCATTACATGCATCACGAATGTAGTCTTTTGTTACAATGTGCAATGTTGCCCCGTAATCAACCATCAATGGTTTGTTCAAGCATTTAGTATCATTGGTCTGGACTTTAAAAGCATAGGAATGACCAGCATCACTGTCATTTACATGTTTAGCATGTGTGGGTGGGCGAGTTGCATCTTGCTTCTTCTTCCAGCAAACTGATTCAGTGTGGCCAAGTTTCATACAATATTTATGTTATCTAATACTGGAGCATGCTTTCCACATGAATAACACACAATTGATTTTGATGTTGTCTTTGCTGAATCGTCATGTTGGGAACGTGATTTCTCTGTGTCAGTAGAATTACGCAATGCAGCTTTAAACTCAGTAAATGTCATGTTTTTATCTGACTGACTACTACAATGAAAGGTTTATATGCACTCGGTAGTCCTTTCATCATCATGGCAATTAAAAGACTGATAGTCTCACCTGCATTTTTCAGTCCTGTGGCTGCATTTTCACCCCTTATTATGTAATCCGTAATGTCTTCATCTGTCTCCCTGTATAATGTCAGTACTCTTGGTTTCTTCGTACTGGCATTGAGCCCTGAGAATTGCTAGTGCTTTCCTCCCATTCTTTGCGTTCCTCATTACTAGTGACAAGCTTTGCTCGTCCAACACTTGGACTAATTTCGAAAAGGCATCTTCATTTTTGCCTGCGTCAGGTTCCTCTCACCTGGTACTATTGTATCCTTCAGTTTTTGGATAAAAATCTGGTTTCCCATTGTTTATAATGACGTTCATTCCCATCAAAGTATATTCTGCTCCTGGGCCCAAAACCTGTTAGCAATCGAGTGTTTACAGCCATCCTGGAAACTAGCTAACTATATTTGGTAGAACACATTATAAACAGAAAAGAAGAAACTTCAATTGAAATGCAAAAGGTATAAATTCATTGAGTATAAAGCACTCAACTGACCTTATAAGCTTTCATGCTAAAGTAGGGACTGACTATATTTATTTTCTCTCACCCCAATCGACTTGACAGGTGTGGGGTAATATTACCTATCGGCCAATTATCGTTCAAGTAACTGCTTTTTGGTCATTTTGTGAAAGTTTAAATTTATATACAGGGAATTTTTTATAATAATAATATAATTAGGATTGGGGTT